TTTATTAAGTTCAATAACTAAAATAGAAATGTGTTTATGTTTTGAAAAACACATTCATAAACTGTTATATTTAGCTACGGTGATCTGAATCAGATGTGATATATCCAGAGCTTGGTGTGCCTTTTCTTCCTTCAGTAGCTTTTATAACAGGAGGTCGTGTGTCATGTGGATTGAGTCCGGTCCATGTTCTATTTTTAGTGACCATTGATAATGACATATCTGTTCTGACATTCAATTCTGAAGATAACTCAATTTCCTCATTAGGCTTTGTTAAGTTTCTTAATTTGTTGGTTACTAAAGATATATCGGGTAAATCTAAAATCAGAGAGAATTATTATAAACAAATTATCATACAAGAACGAAAAATATTTCATAAATACCACTAGTGTTTTCAGTCTCCAAAGCTAATTCAATGTCATCAATATTAACAATTGGTTGCATGTATTCTTTTTGATTATTTATGACACCCTCTGCACATGTAATATTCACAAAAATTTCAATCTAAACAAATATAAAAATAAATATTAATTGCAAACTGGATCTTGAGTAAGAAATAAATTACTTCAGGAAAATTAGCTAATTTGGCAACATTAGGACGTCCAACAGAAAAAATGTAACATTTTTTGTTTGTCTTTTTACACAAATATTTAACTTTATTAATGCGCTCAAGTAAATCTTTAATGCTTAAACTGCATATGAGTATTCCAATATGAGTAGAATCTTTTATCTTTTCTTTTGTATAGTGTTTTTTTTTTATCACTGATGTTAAGGTTCGTTGTGTCAATGTATTACAACTGTTTTGATAGATATATACTTGACATTCTGTAAAATAAATGTATTCATATAAATAGTTGAATATTGTCTATATAATAGTAAAATTTAATGTTTGTACCTTTTTTCTCTAGAATAAATCTATCTACATTGTTCATATAGTTATCATGAATTATATAAACAATATKTTTGTAATCTAAGTTAAGAAATCGTCTTCCAAATATGCTTGTATATTCATGGCCATCAGATACAGTTGATTTAGTACTATTTTGTTCCTTTAAATCTATGTCAGATAATATTATTGACTTCGCAGATGTTAATGATTTGGCCAAATGGTCTGGAATAATAAAAAAAAACATTATTATTAGATATAATTAATTGTAAAATAAAATATTGACTTAAGAACTTACCTCGAATATGGTGATAAGCCACATCGTACAATACCAAAACCAGTCCCTCATCAGTTTCAAAGTTTTTAATTAATGAATTGGCACACTGTACATGATCTAATGGCTGTTTAGGAAGAATGTAATAGACAGGAAGGTGGCTATTTGGTGTCAGACAGGACCGTCCAAAATGAACAACACAATCAGCAGCTACATGTTGGGCAGCTGTTTCATCCACACAACAGCTAACAAAAAAGTGTTTAGTTATATTGAACCACAATAGGGTGGACAGCAATATTATTAGTGTGAAAATCAATAGTATTAGGGTGAAGAACAATATTATATAAGTGTTCACCTGCCATAGGATGTATCACCGAGTATATATACACGGAAAGCTAGTAGTCTTTCAAATTCAGAAGAAATCGATACACTTTGGCACAACATGTAGTCTGGTAATTGGATGCATACCTACATACACAATAAAACATGAATAATATCATTATATTAAAATGTGAAGAGAAATCATCTACAGGACAACCACCCATATTGAATTACTTTTTCGAATTTCCCATTTTTGATCCACTGAGAACAGCAAAATATTTCTTYGGAATACTCCTCCATCGGTAATTTAATGCATACAAAATAYGACTGACCGTTAAATACAGAGTACAGAGTAMAAGTACTTAGAAYATGTAGAAATTTTCAAAGCGGTAAATTTTCATTTCTACTGTGAAATAATATCGTATTATTTTAGCCTTTTCGATGCCGTACCAACAATTGGTATGAAGTGTGATAGTCGAAAACTCGAAAACAGAAACTAAATTTAATAGGTAACAAATTAATAGTGAATTAGTGAGCAAGAAAAATTACTATAAAAAGAAATAAAAATACGCGTGCTTAGTTACTATTTTACTAGTTAGCAGTTGTAGATAACAGCTTGTGTTAAAAAATTAATCATAGGCTTCAAAAATGTACGCGTGTTAAGTTAGCAATAGATAACAGTAAATGATAAGTGATAACAGATCATTATTAACGAATGGATCTTCCCAGGAAAATTATTTTGTGTCCGTATATAATATTGCCTATATTTAGCCACTTTTTTTCAGCTATCAAAATGTGAAAACATCCTAGTATTATAAATTATAATACTATATTTTATTATAATTAGATTTAATGATTTGAAATATTGCTAAATTCAAATTAAAATAGTTAAATGCATTAATAGTTAAATAAATTTAATAATACACAATTCGTTGCGATGCGAATACTTCAAGCGAAAATATAATAGAAATGTTATAATTAGGCTATATTTTGTACTTTTTTTTTTT